ATAAAAATGTTTGCCTTATTTATGTATATATTTGTTTTCACTAGCCCTGCACAATAAAAAATAAATTAAAGTAATTAAACGCGATAAAATCAGTAAATAATAGTTTTATTCAATGTGTAGTGTTCGCGTAAATTTAAGAAATCATCATCTCGTACTTGCTAAAAGCAAGGTTGCTCCGATTAGGTCCCGCTTAACTATCCCTAAATTGGAACTGTCCGGAGCGACTCCTCAACCATGTTCACTCGTCTTTGAAGTCTGTAATCGACATTACGGACGTCTACGTTTGGTCGGATAGTGAAATAGTACTTTGTTGGCTCAGAGCTGCACCTCACAATCTTGAGGTCTTTGTGGCGAACCGCGTGTCTCAAATCCAGAATTCTGGCACGTCTCTAAACTGGAGACATGTCCCAGGGGAGTTGAATCCCGCAGACTGCGCTTCTCGCGGCTGTCCACACCACAGCGGGAGGACCACCCGCTGTGGTGGGGTCCCAGTTGGTTGACTGAGTCTCAGTCATTCTGGCCCCAGAATAAATACTCTGAACCGATTGAATTGTCTGGCCTACGAGCCCGAGTAGGAGTGGGCAAGGATAAGCCCACTCGGGATTTCTCCCTGCTAGAACGTTACAGCTCTCTCAATAAGCTCTTAGGAGTGACTGCTTGGTTGCGTCGATTTGTCCGCAATTCGAGAGACCCGTCCAACCGAATCTCTGATTCCGTTTTGTCCCCTAGCGAGCGTCGCGAAGCCTTGATGCATTGGACCCGTATGGTCCAAGCGGAGCATTTTGAGCCCGTGCTTGAAACCTTGAAGCGGGGCTCTGTTGTAAAGAGCGCTCTTGCCCGCCTGAACCTCTTCCTGGACGACGCTGGAAATCTGCACGTTGGCGGACGTTTGAAAAATTCTCAACTGCCGTACGGAGCCCCACACCCGTTACTGCTCCCTAAGGATGGCGCCTTTGTTCGGTTGCTGGTAACTCACCATCATGTTCAGAATGCCCACGCTGGGTGTAACGCTCTTTCGGCTATTTTGCAGCGGGAGTTTTGGATTTTGGCTGGCCGACGCACCATTCAGAGCGTCCTCTTTAAGTGCATACCTTGTTATAAACTGATGGCCACCATATCGCAGCCGATGATGGGTGACTTACCACCCGACCGCGTCAGGGCCATCCGACCATTCGCTGGAGTCAGAACCGACTTTGCTGGCCCCTTCCTCGTCAGGTCCTCCAACCTTCGTAACGCGCGTTCACATAAGGCCTATCTGTGCGTTTTCGTGTACCTCGCCACTAAGGCCGTTCACTTAGGACTTGTAAGTGCCCTTAGCACTGAAGCCTTTGTGGCCACGCTGGGCTGCTTCGTATCGCGTCGCAGTTTGCCGAACCTGATCCGGTCTGATGGCGGAACGAATTATAAGGGCACGGATAGATATTTGAAAGAGGTCATCGAATTTCTGTACAGCAACAGGACTTATTTAGGTACTGCGATGTCCAAGAAGGGCAAACAGTGGAAATTCGACCCTCCGGCTTGCCCACACTGGGGCAGTATTTATGAGGCGGTGGTTAACGTTGCAAAAACACATCTCCGTCGCGTTATAGGCGAAACTATTTTGACATTTGAGGAGCTTGCCACTGTATTCTGTAAAATTGAGGCGGTACTCAACTCTCGGCCTCTCTGTCCCCTCTCGTCCGATCCGAATGATTTGGTCTCTGGAGTACCTACATCTTTTGTACCAAGTACAAGACGGATCCTCCTCGGGTTGGAAACCTCGTGTTACTTAAGGAACCCAACGCTTTGCCTTTGTTTTGGCGCCGTGGGCGCATTGTTAAGTTGTCGTATGGACCGGATGTGGTGCCTAGGGTGGCCGAAGTTTTGGTTGGAGATTCGGTCTTGCAACGTGCCGTCACAACCCTATCCCGTTTGCCAATTTACTCGCGAGCATAAGTCCTTATGCCCGGGACGGGGGTTTGTTTAGGCCAAATCGTAACAACTTAAAACTTGCGAAAACGCTCGTTTCGGGCGATAAACCTGTTTGACGGTTTGGGCCGGGGGGGCATTTGTTTTGCGCGCGGCGGCCGTGCCAATTAGTCTGGAACAATCGATTTTCCGCGACGTCCTGTCGGTTAGACGTCGGGAGTTACGTTAGAATCGTTAGGTCGCATTAGGCCTGCCTCCTTTGCGTTGTCTTATTTCGTTCGTATACGTGACAACGAGGCTTTCTTTGAGTTTATTAATTTAACTTAGATTGCCATTAATTTGCGTCGACGAGTTGCTTGTGTGATATTTTAATATACTACGAGGGAATTTTTGCTTTGTCGGGTGGAACGCTAAACTTTGTGAACCGGGAGGAGATCGCGTCCCTCTTCGATTATAGTTTGTGCTAAGTGACGTTGGACTTGAGTTCAGATAACGGTGAACGCCCACTGGAGTGATTGCACCTTGTGGAGCAGGGCAACGCATGTGGGTCTGCTGGCCGATTACATCGGTGACGTCAGGTTACATTACACACCTTCTTACACCACTCACACCTACCATTTACTTGCCCCTGACGGTACCTTGTGGTCAACCCTACCTCCGGAACTCGGTAAGTTTGTGTTTGCTTATCCAGCCATTATGTAATAATTATCCATAGGCCATTTGGGCCCGAACCCGCTGGTTGCCCGTCGAGTTGGGTTACTGATGGTCCCTAGTCCAGTCGACTTCTGTCGGGGCAACTGAGGGCCGTAACATATGCCACAACAGTTATGTTGTCTGTTTGTAAGAGCACATGAGAGTCTCTGAGCTTCTTTGCGTTCTGTCTCATTACAGACAGTACGGCAAACATCTCTTTTTTGTTTCATTGCCAATTCCGCTGGTAAGGTGCCCATGAACCTGACATGGTCTGTTTCTCCAGAACAGCGCCCCATCCGATGTTGGAGGCGTCTGTAGTTAAAAAGTGCGATACACTTTTTGTGTGAATTGGCGTTGTCAATGATAGGGCTCCCTGCCACCATTGTAAATCCAGTATTGCCCCCTGAGGAACTGTTTTTTTTTTTTTGGTTTTTACTCGATTCCCCGTGAATCGTCTTATAAACATTTGTAAACGACGACAGTGAAGTCGACCGCGAAGTATTACATAACATGCAAAATTTAGTTGGCCCAAAGGCATTGTAATTACCGAAGGTGGCAAGATTTTGTTGTCAATATTTTTGTTATTGCAGTCAGGATTGACGTTTGTTTTTTTTGGGCAGGAAGACTTATTACATTTTTGTCTGTATTCCATTTTATGCCTAGAAATTCGAATGATCTCATTGGGGTCAGTATTGATTTTTTGAGATTCACCTGCCAGCCCAGGAACTCCAAGAACTACACCACCTCCGTAGTCTGTGATGCTAACTTGGAAGGGTCCCGATGCACTATAAGATAATCGTCCAGGTATACTAGGACCCGCATTCCTTTTTTGCGTAAGGTTTCCGCGACCCAGCAAGTTACAGCAGAGAAGAGTCTGGGAGCCGACGATAGGCCAAATGGGAGTGAAGTCATTTGAAGAATTTCTTTATTGTAAAAAAGTCGTAAGAAAGGTCGGTGTGACATTGCTATAGATAAGTGGAAATATGCCTGTGAAACATCGACTTTTACCATCCAATCTCCAGGTTGAAGGAATTCTGGTATGTTGGTATGGCTTATAAGATGAAAATGTTTTGTTCCTACAAACTTGTTCAAGTTCCGAAGGTCGAAAATTGGTCTCAAGCCACCATCGCTCTTTTTTACAAGAAACATGCGGGAGAAGTAACCGGGAGTCAAAGAAGTAGGCTTTTCTAGAACTCCAATTTCAAGTTTCAAACGTTTCAGTTCGTTTATCTGTACAGTCATCTGGGATGAAGCTTTTGTTGCGTAGCTCCGAGCTACTGTTGCTGAGGGGTACCTGAGTACAGGTCTCCTAATAAACGGAATCCGAGATTCTGATATTGCTTTTAGAATAAAGGGAGTAGCTCCGAGCTGCTCCCATTGGTCTCTGAAGTCCTTTAATTGACCCCCCCCTGAATTCCGGCTCTGAGTCATTGTTTATCTCTGTCAAGGGAGCGAAAGGACGACTTTTGACCTATGCCTTTACCTTTTCCCTTGCCCCTGGAAGGGCCGTTTTGGTAATGCGAATTATAAGTTTGGTAACTAGTAGTTCTCTGGGGAAATTCTAACTTTGTTTTCTTAGGAGCCGTACTAGTGGAAGAGTAAAGAGAAGAATCCGATCCTTTCCTTTTGAAGGCCAAACCCTGACTATTCTTAATTTCTTTAAAAGTAAGTGACTTTATCCACTGTGTAGGGCCACCAAATTTTTGAATAAGGGCATTTAATTTAGATTGGTCGAATAAGACACTTTCGGATGGAGGAATATTTCTCAGGGCTAACTGAATACATTTGTTAGGCACTTCTTTAATTAATCTTTCCCTTCTAGTTTCAATGCATTCAGCTCTTTTACCACATAAAACCTGTAAGATATCTTCAGAATTTTTATTAAAGGCTGTCCCTTTCCCAATAGCAGAGCTTATTTTTTGCGCAAGTGCTGGTGCATTTAATTCCTCTGGGGATTTCGCAGCCCAATCCACTACTGACTGTAAACCGGCTCGGAGTAACTCATTGCTTTCAAAAACAGCATTTGACAATGCTGCCATTACACTTTCAGTACCCGATAAATAATCTTTCGATTTGCTCAGATGGCATAATTCATCATTTACCCTCAGTTGAGTAAACCCTGGGGTAGCTACAAAAGACTGTAGAGTCTTGGAATATCTTACATTTTGCCATGTGGGTAGGCCAAAATGTTGCAATGTCTTTATCTTATCAACCCTCTCCGGAAGGGCTGGTTTTATAATTTTACTTCCATCAATATTGATGGCTATTGAACCTAGATCAAGCATGGGATTTTCTTTTGGTATAGTAAGAAAGTTATCACAAGTATAGGCATTAACATCTTGTAGGTTATTTTGCGAGCTGCCGAGACTCTGCATATAAATATTTGATAAAAATCCTACCTGGTTTATGAGATCTTCGAAGTCTGGGTCTTCTTTTGAATTCCTTCTTTTCAAGGCAGGCTTTCCACTTTGAGATGAACTCGACGAAGAAGAGTCGGACTCGTCCTCAATCGAATCGTTCACATTCTTTTCCCGAACAATCTGTGGGGAATCAGCGTTACCACTCATTACGAATAAAACTGTAGTATTTTGCAGCACAACTTAAATTACGTCCGACACGGCAGCGAGCAACACACGCAATGACACTAACGGGCACAAAACACTAATATAACAGGGCGAGCCCCTCCTTGCGGTGACAGTTATAAACAACAATAAAATTCTCATGAGTTGAGGGTATCTATGGATTGATTTACAATAGACGGTAGTATCAATAAAAAAGGTGAGCGCACACTGCTTGTTCATAAGCGATGCTGTGTTTTCTGATAGACACATAATATTATTATTACATAATTGCAGTAGTTTCTCCGCCAAAATATTTATTCCTTCAATAAGTTGACGTGGCTTTATTATTTTCTTTATAGTAGTAACCATGCTTTACACTACGTTTCGCAGTATCTTCATTTACAATTTCTTTTTTTCAATAAAGCAAACAATAAAAACCTATTAGCGCTACTGGGTCGAGATCAAGTTTCAACTGAGTTTGTACAATTTTACCGCTATGTGTATATGTCCTCTAGGTACTCAGCTCAAGCTTACCTGACGGATATAACTGTACAGGTAAACCTAACAGGTACACCTTAGCATGTATGGGGCTACTTTTAAAATCCATGCGATATAAAGTATAGTTCATGGAGTATAGAGGTAAGGAGGACAATCTCCCATAGTAGAATATTTGTAAATGTGTCCATCTGTAAGCAGTAAATAACAGTTCAAAAACTCTCCACATGAGCGCTGGAGTAGCTACAGGGAATGATAAATATGCCGTAAAATATGTTGAGTGGTTTTGAAAATAAAAATTTTGAAAGCAATAAAATAATTATTGTAAAAAGAATTATGGTGAAAGTCTGCGCAATAAAAAAATTATAAAGAGTCCCTTATTTAGCGCTTTCCTACGGACACTTTTTTATAAAGTCTGTACTCCTTACCTCTACACTCCATAGTATAATTTCTTGTTCAACTTACGCGAACGTTCTGAAACGTACATAGACTTAGAATATACCGGCGTAGACGAACATAGCTTGCAAGGAAGAAGAAAATTCCTTATGGCAAAAATGCAAGATAGAAAAGGATACCAAATTTCGTAACTCTGTGACCAATTTCGAATGACAGGTCGGCACAATTCGGCTCGCATGAAATAAGCTCCTCGTAGGAATTTTCTAATTTTTTAGATCATAAAAGTGTTAATTGTATAAGTGAATAAAAGTGTTAATTGAATAAGTGCAAATCCGTAGATTTTCAAAATGGTTACATGTTCAGTGAGTGACTGTTGTGTTAATCATCGAAATAATCCTGATGGTTGCACATTTCACAGGTAAATTCGCGCAAAACGTCATTACAGCTATGACGCGTCTATTTTTGCGCGCAGTGCGGAGTACACGCTCCCCACTTCACACTTCATATTGCGACGGAACAAGAGATAGAGACCATTCTAGAAGTTTTTCATACGATTATGTGTCCGGCACCGCATGCCGCATACCGCAGTGTTGTGTTTTATGATCAAGAGCACCAAAGCTTTATTCAGTTTGTGTACTTAACTGTTTTTATAAATCTTTTTACCGCTTCCTTAACAATCATTTTTCGATAGTCCTTGTTAATAAAATGTACATCCCTAGCTACCGCACACAATGACAAATCAAAATTACACTCGTTTTCGGGCTGTCAGGTCGTTTACGTCTATACGCCAGTATATTCTAAGTCTATGAAAACGTACAACTAAGGTAAGATAAGTATGACGACTGCGTGGCCTAGCGCACAGTACAGTATAGTTCATAAAAGATAGCTTGATCTCTGCGACAGCTGTCAGTAAAAATCACGCCTATGAAGTCCTGAATTTCTTAGTAGTACAGACAGTACCTGTCAATGTCATACTTTATGGGAATGCCGACTTAGTGCATGCCCATAAAGTATGACATTGACAGGTACTGTTAATGTACCGTGATTTTTACTGACAACTGACTGTCCCAGAGATCAAGCTATCTTTTATGAACCATAGTTACCATTACCAGCCAGCAGAGTAAGAGTGTGATACTTACCCAGATGGGCTCCCAGACAGATTAGTCCAGGGAAAATCGGCGCATGAGTACCGAAAACGTGGAATCGCTTTCGGTACCACCAATTTTAAACTTTCCACTTTGATAATTAATAATTTTCAAAAGTTAGTTAAGGAAGTTATTGGGTGCGTTTGGCAGAAAAAAGCGCTAGCAAGCGCACCCATTGATTTAACCGAGTTGCCCCATGGCAACATGTATTTATATCATCAGTAGAACACATTGATTAAAACTACTTTTACGGATTTTATCGCGTTTAATTATTAAAACTACTTTTATGGATTTTATCGTGTTTAATTACGGATTGTTCGCGTAAATATGAGAAATCATTATCAGTACTCATGCGCCGATTCCTCCTGGACTAGATAAGACATACTGCCACCTAATAACTTAACAATTTTTTTTAAGGCAGGAATTCTATATTATTTTAATTCATACGAAATATTTCACTAAATCATGAGTAAAAGTACAAAAATTACCTTTACTATATCGAGAGTATCTAAATTTGCGATTGTCGTAAGAGCCATGTGCCTTTGATGAAAGAGCACTTGAGAAACTGCTATAAATATTTGCCCTGGAGTGTATCTTTTGTCATTGCTTTTTACCAATTGATCTGAATGCATTTTATCCAAATGAATCTTAACTTTATTGGCCAAATGCTGTAACTGTAATAAAATTGCAGATAGATGAAACCAGAGTTTTTTTACTGAATTCATTCATTGTAAAAACTGTGCTTAATACTAACTTGGTCTTCAACATCTTCGTTCAAGTGTAAGTTTACAGTGTCAATCCACTGCAAGAAGTAATTGATAACGATTTCTGGAGGTAACTCATGGCTAATCTGGGCCTTCACCCATTTTACAGCCATATAACAATGTATAAGACAGCGAACCACACTTTTTGCATAATGTATTTCTGTTAATGTATATGGTCTGTAAAAAACATACAAAAATTTTATGAAATTATATAACTATTTATGTTATGTGCAAAAAAAAATATTTCATTAAACTTACTTTTTGCTTTGGAAGTTATTTAGGACTTTATTACCTTTCCTAATAATATCTTGCAGTATGTATATTGTATAGTAATAGCTGCGACTATTGGTTGATGCTATTTCAAAAAAATAACTCACATCCTGTGGAGTTATATCATCAATTTTCCTTAAAACAAATATATGTGAACATTTTAACTTGTATTACTTAACAGAATACATACATAAGCATAATGCCTTTAAAGACATTGCATAATATGTACTGTTGTACTGTAAATGAAAACAGCTTATGTAATACGAATGCTATGTGGTCTCCAGTGATTTACTGTCTTTCCACATGACCAGTTTTTATTTTTAAATAAAATTGAAACAATAGTACAGAGCAAACCACCTGCTACTGCAGCCCAAGTACATGTACATAATAATACTCTCTCAGCTCAGAGCAGCTCTCAGCTAAGCACAGTACAGCAGCACGGAACACAGCAGTGCATTTGCTATGTGGCGGTAACAATAGGTGACAGTGCGGCAGCAACTCACATGAACAGCTATGCAGAACGGGAGTTCTACCAACGGTACTGTGATGATTTAAATCTTACTCAAATTATTATTTAGGCCTTTTCTATTTGCTCACTTGAACTTTGAGTCACCAGTTAAAGTTGCAGCCTATATACGTCCCACTGTTGAGTACAGGTCGCCTCTCAATTCTGGGAGGGTTTTAGGGCAAGGAATAGTCCGCCGCGGTGCCCCAATGCGTGTTGGCGAACTTCACCTGTCTTCGAAATATTTTATTTTCTTATTTCTCAGACATGCAGGTTTCCTTACAATATTTCCTTCACCGCCGAGCACTTGGTAAATCAGCACTTAAAATTGCAATTAACAATTTCATTGGTGCCGGCGGGGAACGAATACAGTTTGCTCGTGTATTGTGAAATTTACAGCAAGCGCTAACCATCGTCAGTCATTTCTAATTTAATGTTTTGATTTCAACAACCTCACACATAATCTTTAATAGAATCGGTGTTCTTATGCAAGAACTGTGGTTTATCTAATCCGGTATAATGGTGAGAGCAATACTAAAAATGTTCACAGGCCGCAGACTTTGTATTGATATTTCTCATAAAATAATCTGTGAAAATGGATGTGATTTTTATGTGGTGCAGCCATGCTGCAAATATATTAGTGGTATAGTTATAGCACAAATGGTTTGTCTCAGTTGGGGAAGGACCACACTCTCACAGAATATCAGCGTAAAATAGCAGCTTAACGTTGCTGTGGTATGGTGAGTGTAGAGAACCAGAGACCCTCTTTACTGGAAACAAGACATTCTATCTTAGTCCTCATGCATGACAACGCATCTGCATTTTGATTCGTAATGTAATGAAAGAAAGATGTAGATGTCTATGAGCTACAGTGACCACTTACCATTAGGTGGACTGTGTGCTCGTTTGTCACACTTATCCTATAAAAAATATTATATTTTTAACATACAGATATTTTTTATAGGATAGGGTGACAAACTAGCACACAGTCCATCTGATGGTAACTGGTTGCTGTGGCCCATAGACATCTACATCTATCACTGACCTCTATATATACAAGTACGCTGGACTGGCTATACACCGTGACATGATGAAGCGATTTGATTTCCGCCATTTTGGCGCTGACATCAGAAGTGCACGTCCACGGAACTAATACTAGGGATAAGACAGTGTACCAAATTATATCGATAAAAATTCTATACCCTACCTATACCTAAATAAATAGAATGGATTCTATGGATAGATGGACTCTACCCGTAACGTCCTTTCTATTTATGTATCATATTAATATAATGCCATTATCATTCATCATCATTAAAACCCTTCACAAATCCACTGCTGAACATAGGCCTCCTCCAAGGAATGCCACAAAGCACGGTCCTGAGCTACCTGCATCCATCAACTTCCTGCATGTCTTACCAGGTTTTGACTCCATCTGCCTGCCACTTGAGAACCTTTTTTCCCCATCGGTATTCGGTTCTTCGAGCTAATATGGCCGATCAATTGCCACTTCAGCTAACTAATCCATTAGGCGATGTCAGTCACTATGGTTCTGCAGCAGATATCCTCATTCCTAAGTTTGAACCCCTGAGTATAGCCCTCTTCATAGCTCGTTGAGCGACTTCGAGCTTCCTCATACGACCAGCAGTGAAAGATCGCGTCTCAGATCCATATTTCATCACTGGTAACACGCATTGGTTGTACAATCTAGTTTTGAGGTATTCCTGACGAGAAGATGTTTTGTAATCTCCCGAACGCTGCCCAGTTGAATAATGTAATAATTTGAATCCGTCGATTGAGCTGTCGGTCGAAGTTGAACTTCGACCTTCCTAGTCGGACTATTTGTCCCAGTAAAAATACTCATCAACAACTTAAGCTAAGTGCTCCCAAAAACCACAGGCATAGGTGTGACATGGACATTACACATGACTTTTGTTTTGTCCATATTCATCTTAAGACCTATCCGTTGGGAGACACGATTGAGGTCATTGAACATAGTGCGTAGGTCCTCCAGCGATTGTGCCATAAGGACTATATTGTCGGCAAATCGAAGGTGAGTAACGTACATGACATTGACGTTAATACCGTATCCTTTCCAGTCCAGTAGGTTGAAAACGTTTTCCAATGCAGCAGTAAAGTATTTCGGGGATATTACGTCACCCTGTCTTACACATCTCTACAGTTGGATTAGTTTTGTACTCTGGTTCTGTATTCAGATAGCCATCATAGCCCTTAACCATTCAACTAAAAAATATTAAGATTAAACTATGTACACAAAATAAAAATAAAAACATAATTTCTAGAATAATTTATTGTCAACTGTTCACTTTGTTTTAGTATTATAAAAAACAAATCAGCTGCTATAATAACGCCTATTCTAATCAACTACAGATCTGTCTATTGTCAGTAAAATATTTTCTACTATATAAAAATTTATATTTGTTCGTACATTCTACGATGCCATACCGTTCATCAGATTGCGATAAAACTTAGTCAACTTATTGGTTGCACTTGTGAAAAGGTTATACGCATGGTACAATTAACTGACACTAGGTGGCGTGCGTATTATACTGACTATTTATTTGAAAGTTATAGAAAGTTCTATATCATTCTATTTCAATGATTGTATTATCATTCCTAATTATACAATATAACTGTTTCACATTTTTAACGATATTTCCACAATTATTTCTTCTGCGGCAGCAATGCGCCGGGTATGAGCTAGTAAGATTATATAAAAAATATAAACTTTGAATTACATAGTCATTAGTTATTTACAACATCATTTTCGAAATTAAAATTACAATATTAAAAAAAATAACTGAAAATATCAATTACCGAGCCCGATATGTGAATGGAGCCAGGGAAAAACGAGCACTTAGAAGCATCAAATGGTCCTCACCAAAGAGACCTCACCAAAGTCGCGAAAAACAGTCGAGTGGCGCATCGCCAATCGCGTTACCAACACTCTCTTCCTGCAGTACAGGGAGAGGAATCTCCTCTAGCCGCAGCCCACTAACACACATCCAACGTGACTCAACATCATCAGGCGACCTTTCGACACTTGGCTATGGCCCTTGAGTTTGGTGGAAAATTAGGAAAGAAGAAATAAAAAATCATTCGAAATAATTATCTAATACTTAGTACTTGGTAGTTCTTGGTACTGGTACCACCAGAAAATATTGTCGGTATACTGCACTTTTTCAAAGTGGTGCAGTTCTCATGTCTAATAAAATAGTCGTCTGTGAAATGTTTGGAACAAATATGATCATTTTGTTTCGGACGCCAATTCACAATATTTATGATATTAAGCCATAATTTTAGTCTAGGAAACCTGTTAATTAATAAACATTTGATAATCATTTGTTGTTGGTGACTTTGTTTGTTAACAGATATGGTTAGGAAAGAACATCGATAAATATTATAGACAAGGAACTCGTCAACCCTATTGAATTTTATTGTTTATCAAAACTCAGTAATATACAGCTAAACATGTTGGTATATATGATATTAAGATTAGTAACAAAATTCTAAGTACTTATATTATCAAATAGTTTTAATTTGTTTAATATTTACTGCAAATTCACTTACTTGTGAAATTTTATACCACTTCCCTTTTGGTAACGAGTTTTACAGATTACGCACCCTCTCATTATTAATGAAAATAATTCTTATTATGTAACTAATATTATACACAATCAAACAACATAAAATACTTTCGTTTTTTAGTTTAAAAGTTCAAAATACAGACTTATTAAATATGACAATATGAATAAGACAACATCTTTGGCATATTATGTCAATTTTATTTTTCAAGACATCCTTCAGCGGCGCTTCAAATTGGCACAGTCATTTTGTATGGTATAGCCAGTCCAGCGTACTTGTATATATAGAGGTCAGTGACATCTATTCTCGATTACAAATCAAAATTCAAAAATAGTAATTCTAATTAAAAATTACTATTTTATAATACTGGCCAGTTTGAAATTTTATGTTTTACTACTGTTTAGGAATTCAATTTTTCATTAATTACATTAGTTATTGTCAAATCAGATCTAAAGTAGGCAAGCAAGTTAAACTTTATATATCCTCATTAGCTCAGTAACATCCTTTAGAGTTAACAGCTATATATTGACAGTTGTAGTAGCTCACGGGCTAAGTGCTCTCCATAAATTTCAGAGTATGCAAGCACCAGGTTCAATTCTCGCCAACACTCACGTAATTTGTAAGTAGCAATTTTAAAAATATTTGCAATGCTATTAATGTTATTAATATTCCCTTAAGCCACTCATGGTAAGCTGAAGATGCTTGTGTTAAGAGTGGTTCACGATAGTAGTCAGATAGTGGTTTCGAACCCGCGACCTTTTGAGTTTGCAATTTGCATCATACCATTATGCTTAAAATAAATTTAAATGCCTATTTACCACAAGCTAAAGGAAAGATTCATGAGAAAACCAGCATCTCTGGAAAATGGGGAATAGCGATTACTAATCTCTGTATATAAAAACCAATTCCTGTCTGTTAGTATCGCTAAAACTTAAAAATGGATCCCTAGATAGTTTAGATTTACGTTTGGACCCGGTAGGTGGCGCTGATGTCGAGTTCCAGAAATCACCCCTGCAATACTAGGGCGGATCTTTAGTACTATATAAATGTATACCAAAAACAACTTACCAATAATGCTTAGGAGACATTGTTATTAGTTCCCTATAGACGAGTTGCTTGTGTTTCATAAAATCCTTAAAATCATTCAGCCAATTACCATCACTAAACTTTTCAGCAACCTCAAAAATAACTGGATACCTAAAACATTTATATGTAATTTCAAAAATGTATTTCAACTCAGTACTACAAAATTTTGTAAGGACTGGAATATACAAAACCAAACAAACAATTTTAAAGGGAAAAGGGGGGAGAAGGGGAATTGGACTCTGTTCTCTCACTAGTTTGATAAGACAGAAACCCTACACGACTGGAGAGAATGACTTTACATGCTTTCTACTACTAAGAATTTCTTGATGGAAAAACTCAATAGCTGGCTGAACCCGAGATTCGAACCAGGGACATCATAATCAGCAGTTGTGCTTACCAATACTAGAACAATTCAAACCCACCCACCAACCAATTGAGGGCATAAACACCTAGATATATAATGTTTAACCCCAGTTGTATTTTTCACATAACGCCAGGCCATTCTTGCTGCCGAAAGTAACATACAATGTGCGCCATATTAAGAACCATGCCACGAAAGTAGTCTAACTGTGCACATTTAACTAATGCATCACTGTATATCACTTCTACAACTAAGACATTGTAAAGTTAATGGAATCAGGCTAAATTAACAGGGGAATAAGTAAGACAACCAACACTCTTTATAAAACATTCAACAAACATCAGAAAAATACCAATCTCTGGAAACTTTAAATCAAAATACTAGTTATAAGTTATAACACATACTAGTTTGCCAGTAATATTACACAACATTTAATACTAATAATTTTTTTTCATTACAGCATTTAAAATAAAACAATGGCATTTAAAAGCTTAATACCCTCTTTTTATACCACTTCTAGTGTTTGTTATAACTCCCAGAATAATTCATAGAAAAGTTATATGTGGTAGAGCCATGCTGCAGTTATCTTAGTATAGTATAGTTGTAGCACAAATGGGTCGGCTCAACCGGGGAAGGATCACTCTCTCACAGAATACCAGCGTATAATAATAGCGCTGCTGTGTTTCGTATACTGAGTGTAGAGAACCGGAGACCCTTTTTACTGGAAAAGAGGTATTCCATCTTAGTCCTCACGGGTGACAATGCTTCTGCATTTTGATTCGTAATCGAGGATAGATGTAGATGTCTATGGGCCACAGCAACCACTTACCATGGACTGTGTGCTCGTTTGTCACCCTATCCTATATAAAAAAAGTAATATTTATCAATTTTTTCAGAAACAACTTTACACTATAAAACATTCATGGAAAGCTGTAAGCAGTCAAAAATAAAAACAAGATAATGCCAAACAGATGTAGTATAAACCAACAACAACACTGTCTATGTTATAATATGACACAGGGCATAAATAAAATAACTATGATTTCTGTTCAGAGTATAAACTATTGTATATTGAGGTGCAGCTGGGGTTGCCTTGGTTCCACTTCTAGAATGCAGACTTTATATCATTAAAAGTTATAAGTGAAGGTAGAAAATAAACCAATAAAAAGAAATGAGAGTAGGATTCTCAACTCCCACTCATTCCTTTTTTTATTAAGATTTTGGATCTTCAGTTTTATACATTTTTTCTTCACAATATGACGATGCATCATATTGTGAAGTTTTTTGAAGGTTTTGATGAAAACTCAACCTCATGGACAGTTGGCCAAGTTCATAAGGTGACTAAGTGATCAAAATAACTTTAGGTACTTGTATATATCAACATTAAAGCACTTATTTCATAGTTTTCTCTAATAGTTCACATGCGCAGATACTTAATACACAAAATTACATCACCTTAATTAATCAAAATCTACTTCAAACCATTATTTTAATGATAAAACAGGAGCAAAAAACCATTAACGGCCAATTTACAACCAAATTCCCCTCACACTTATTCAACTAACATAAAGTAGAAAATAGGCAACTATTTTAGATCAGCCCACAGACTAAAAAGAGTACTTGTTTAGATTAGCTGTACATAGATTTTTGTATTTTGTTTCATTGATATATTTGTCAATATTTATTAACAGAACAAAGAAGTAAATCTATGAAAATAGATATTGATTAAAACTACTTTTACAGATATTATCACATTTAATATATATTATTTTTAATTCCACATGTTTTGGGTGCTTTCCAGCACCCATGGTCATTGGGGACTGAGATGACTGACATCCCGATGTCATTGTTAACCTGGAGTACCTTCAGCTATTTAATTATTATTTATGGTCCGACCTAAGCAGAATGAACTTACTGTGTCTTGAAATCTTGCAGTGGTATGCTTGGGTTTAGTTTTAATTTTATTGATTACAATAACCCAAGCAGATAGTAGTACCCAGCCTCCTTCTCTATTGAAATTAGGATCTTTTTTAATTCCAATAGCCTCATGTATCATTCTTGGTAGAAATCAATATTCTTTTGTGAGGATTTATGATGATGATGTTATGGTTGGGGCCGCCTAGGATATAATCACAAAGTACAGACTTCCCGGAATGTTGATGCGTCACATCAGCTATATGTTCTTCTGTGCGGGTTCTAATTGATCTTTTTGTTTGCCCTTTGTATGAACATAGTCTCTATATATTTTAGGTCTAAACTAACAAAAGAGGATAGATCTCTTTTTTAAGTTTTCATAAGATTTGTACAGTTGAACAGAATTTTTAATAGTAGTTAATAAGTTAAAATGAGGACATTGATGGATACAGGTGGCTCAGTTCTATGTTCAGCAGTAGACTTGTGAAGGACTGAACTTAAGAATGATGACAATGATGAAATTTCATACCATAACATAGTTATAAAATAAAAGATTAAACCCAAAAGAACTTTCCACGGATGGTTCTAAAACAAATACAGGAGCAGGATCTAGACTTTCTTGAAAGACGTTACCATCTATATATGTGCACCGCTGGGTACCAAAAACATGGTCTTTCAGGCTGAATGTATTATTCAAGTGGCTGTAGCAATAGATGTCAGGAAGGTAAGGTACCTGTTCATACTGATACCCTTTGGGAATATTAGTTGAATAATTAATTTATAACGATTTTACTTACATGAATTTGAATTTATGTTTCCAAACGACATGGTTAGTGTTAATTAATTCGTTAAAACGTTTACATAACGAACCGAAATTCATAATTTCGTTAATACTTAGGTGTTTTATCACCATAAATATAACTTCGTCCGGTAAACAATGTATTGAATGACCGTTTTCCAATATATTGGCTTCCATTATAAAGAATGTATTTTACTCTAATAAGTGATTTTTAATATTTTTAACAAATCCAGCCAATATAGTTTACGCCCCAATTACATTACCCTGAAACTGAATCAGGGCTGGGCCCTGGATGAAGGGTGGGCGTGTCCCCCACAGAACATACTCCTAGCCGCTCCTAGCGGAGAGCATAGATTACTGACTATGAACTAGAGTATGGTGGAGAGTGTCCCCTAATTAGGGATAGGGACCTGAGTTATTACACTACACTACCCTGATTTTACGCCCTTTCTCGGTCATAGGGATGTGAAAAAAGTATTTATATTTATTGAATCGATATTTTTAAACACTATCAATATTATAGCGTGATTAATATCGATATATCGTCATGTTTTGCATGATGTAGATATGATGTAGATAAGGGCCAAAATTTTATTACTGGACCTTTTGAAGACGAAAAAACAAGACTATTAATAGTAACGAACTCTTTTCTTTACTATTGCCGTGTTTAGAAGAAAGCTATGGGTGAAGGACTATTTAAAACTTATGTAGGTAAAATCACTCAAATATGCGGATTATCGGAGTTCTGGAGCCCAATGAATTTCGAATACCTGAGAATAGGGGAAGAGGAGTTCGAGGAGCTATTAAGTTTAGCTCCTTATATCGAAAAACAAAATACGGTTTAAAGAAAGAGTGTAAGTGTAGGCAAAGATTATTTGTGACTTTAAGATTTCTAGTGATTTAAGTGCGTGTATTTGTGTGCGCGCTTTGTGTTACAAAGAGAATTAGCTACTACCATAATAATTTGTTATTTAGAATTTTATGACAGCTAAGTTATTTAAGAATATTTGAACTATTAAATAGCTTATTTACCTACATCTTAAACCACCTTCCGCGAGGTACGCACTGTGTGCGGCCTGTCGCGTGTAAAGGTCGAAGCCCCACACCGGCGCGATTACCCAGCGCAGTGCCACCGCTGCCAACTCTATGGGCACGCGGCAGCCAACTGCTCAGCCCCACCCAGGTGCGTTAAGTGCCTAGAACCCCATCACTCGAAAGAGTGCCCTCGGCCCAAAAACGCCGAATCTCCACCCGCATGTGTCCTATGCGGACAAACTGGCCACCCGGCCAACTTTAGAGGCTGCCCTCGCGCTCCTCGCCCACTTCTGAGCCACAAAGCTCCACCCCAGGTCAATGACCGAAATTTCTCGGCTCTTGGAAGTCGCATGCCCCGCCATGGCCGTTCCCTACCACAGCCCCCTCAGGGCTCATCTCAGCCCACACAGGGCATCTATCGGCCCCCTCAGGGCCCCTATTGGCCACCTCAGGGTCCTGCACGGCCCCTTATGAGCCTTCCGCTCTCCCAGCCTGCGCCGCTCCCAATAAACCCTTGGTTCCCAAAGGCAAATAATATCCCGCGGCCCTCCACCGACCCACAAAAACAGGCAGACCCTATAGTAGATGATCTAAGCCTAGTGTCTAACACTATGAATAAGATCAATATAGGGGAAATCTCTATCCTTGCGCGTAAACTGCGCGCTGCTCAGTCCCCTCAGGACCGTCTCCTTGCTCTTGCTGAGCACATCGACCTACTAAGGTCGTTGTAATAACACCCATCCCTAAGGTCTCTAAAGGCCTCTCTATTAAAAATTATTCACTTCTTCGTAATGACAGACCCGACCGCAAAGGCGGCGGTACTGCCATTTATTACAAAAAGTCCCTTCATTGCTCCCACATCCCCACTCCGACGCTTACCAGTATGGAAGCCACTATCATTAGATTAGCCATGACTGGACACCAGTCTATCATTATAGCCTCTGGCTATATACCTAGCGGAACCCTCCCCGTTAAGAGTGATTTCGAAGCCATCCTTGCATTAGGCGACTCAGTCATTATGTTTGGAGATTTTAACTCCAAGCATACTGAATGGACCTGCCGCACTACTACTAGTAGTGGCGGGGTGCTGCTCAATATCACTCAGTCTCTCGACCTGACTGTCTACAGCCCCCTCGCTGTCACCCACTATCCCGACAACATTAACTACGCTCCTGACGTGCTAGACTTTGCTCTAGTTAAAGGAGTCTCCCTTAACGTTAGAGCAATCGAGTCTCTCGATGATCTAGGATCCGACCACCGTCCTGTATCCCTCCTTCTTGGCCATCAACCATCTGCAACTCCCACTTCCAAAACCTACACCAACTCGGCTATAGACTCTCCGGACCCTCCCATAACCCTTTCTTCCGACGTCCTCTACAGTACGGGGAAAATAGACACCGCGGTCGAAAATCTCACGTCTCTTATAACATCCTCTCTTAAAGAGAATAAAAAAGTTGTCCCGGTTGCTAAAACTTTTCTAAAAACTCTAGATGATATCATAATGACTAACATAGGAATGGTCAATTATAGTGATTTCTAAATATTAAATCGCATTCTTTTGTGTTATACAAATCGTATTTGAGTCATCGATACATCGAACGAGACACAACACGAAGAAATGTTGAGATATGCAACAGAATGTGAGATAAGCTTGTTGACGCATAAAGTTACTATCAGTTTCACTGCAGAAATTCTTTAGATTAGAATTATTACTTACTTGTGCTATATAAGACCGAGCAGCTGCAGTCATGGAGTTAGTGTATGGTCGTTTGACCGCAGTGGATCTATCAATACTACATTTGTGTTACTTCAACGCATCAAAGGCCATGGATGTAAGTGTTTATTCTATTGACAAACTGACTTTTGTTTCTGTTATTTTCTTACATGTGTATGATTTAGTGTTAACAAATTATATTTAAATATTGTGTGTGTATATGATTAAGCCGTGGTAGCTCAGATGGTTAGCGCAAGCTGTAAATTTTACAGTACGCGACCTGGGTTCGACCCCCGCCGGCACTAATTAAATTGTTAATTGCAATTTTAAGTATTGATTTACTACGTGCTCGGCGGTGAAGGAAAACATCGTGAGGAAACCTGCATATCTGAGAAAATTTCGAAGGCATGTGAAGTTCGCCAACACACATTGAGGCAGCGCGGCGGACATTTCCTAGCCTTAAATACAAATACAATAGCAGAAAGTGAAAAAGTTGAAATAATACTTTTTTAACAATGACAGTCATTAGCTGATCATTAGTGAATGTGATTATGTTTACTTAAATTACAGGAAGACAAGAGCAGAAGGAAGCGATGGGATGATGGGAAGTAATGAAGCATTGTTATGTGAAGTTTGTTGGAACAAACATATTTTTATTCACGTGTAAATACTTTTAACTTTTTGGTTCAAAATGACACAAAATCTAAAAAATATTAGATACATTATCGATATGGACGGATTTTACATTACGTATCCTCATAAACATTTTCAATGTCGAGAAATGGCTATTCTAGACGTAAAACTTCTAATAAAAATTATGCGTTTATCGATCATTATTTGTTTCGGCCAAGTTATCCTTTCAATTATTGGTCGCCAAAAGACAAAAAAACTGTTCGTTATTGCGATACACACGTGCACGGCATTTCATATTTTGACGTGACCGAAGAATTAAAATGTGCCTACAAACAAGGGAACATCATTCCCATATTAAATTGGTACATTAGAAATTTGTGCAAAGACGAAGTGATCGCATACAAAGGTGGTTCAGCAGAAAAACAATTTTTAAAAATGTTGACGAATGATAAAATCTAAATATTGAAATATTGAAGAATACAAATGTCCAAAATACAATGATTTGCTAAATGCCATAAATTTAAACAAACGTTATGTATGTAATTATCATATATTTGCAAAAAAATAATCACAAAATTTTACATTGTTCTTGTGATGAAGTGTGGGATTTTTACAAGTGGTTATTGCTTGAAGATAAAATTTTAAATTAATCATAAATTTTGTATGATTTCCCAAAATGAAAACGTTTGAAACATCGCGTGACGTATACTGCTACGTCCTGTGGCGTATTACAAAATAAACGTTGTTGCCTGGAAAGGACGATATTTCACAGTACGCGACCTGGGTTCGATCACCGCCGGCACCAATAAATTGTTAATTGCAATTTTAAGTGTTGATTTACCACGTGCTCGGTGGTGAAGGAAAACATCGTGAGGAAACTTCGAGTCTGAGAAAATTTCGAAGGCATGTGAAGTTCGCCAACACGCTTTGAGGCAAATAACCACTTGTAAAAAAAACCCACACTTCATCACAAGAAAAACAATGTAAAAATTTGTGATTATTTTTTGCAAATATATGATTATTACACACATAACGTTTGTTTAAATTTATGACATTTACCAAATCATTGTATTTTGGACATTTGTATTCTTCAATATTAAAAATTCTATCATTCGTCGTCAAAAATTGTTTTTCGGCTGAACCACCTTTGTATGCGATCACTTCGTCTTTGCACAAATTTCTAATGTACCAATTTAATATGGGAATGATGTTTTCTTGTTTGTAGGCACATTTTAATTCTTCAGTCACGTCAAAATATGGAATGACGTGCACGTGTGTAACGCAATACCGAACAGTTTTTTTGTCTTTTGGCGACAGATAATTGAAAGGATAACTTGGCCGAAACAAATAATGACCCACACTTCATCACAAGAACAATGTAAAATTTTGTGATTATTTTTTGCAAATATATGACTATTACACACATTGTTTGTTTAAATTTATGACATTTACTAAATCATTGTATTTTGGACATTTGTATTCTTCAATATTTCAATATTTAGATTTTATCATTCGTCAACATTTTTAAAAATTGTTTTTCTGCTGAACCACCTTTGTATGCGATCACTTCGTCTTTGCACAAATTTCTAATGTACCAATTTAATATGGAAATGATGTTTCACTTTTTTTTTACATTTTAATTCTTCAGTCACGTCAAAATATGGAATGCCATGCACGTGTGTTTCGCAATAACGAACAG